CTCTATATTTTCCCTGTCAAGGTTAGTAGTAGGTTCATCTAAAGCCAGTATTCCACAGGAAATACAGAAAGTCTCAGCTAATGCAAGACGAATAAGAATTGATGCTAAAACCTGAAAATAACAAAAATTTAGTTTGATGGATAGTTCTCATTAACTGCATGGAACTATCGCTTTTAAATACAAATTTTATGAACCAACAGAATATTATTATTACTAGTACCTTCTGCCCAGCACTGCAGCGCCCTCGCATGTCCAAACTTGTGTCTCCTTTCAACATCACTACCTAAAACCATTGAGACATACATAATGCAATTATTGTCAATCTAAAATCTCTTCATCTTTGATGACCAGAAGTACGGTAATTTATCACTGCCTTCGAGATCAACAATGTCACATGAACGGATGCTGGCCAACTTAACCACAACCCTGCAAGCCAACCCAAACTACCTGCTGGCCATCTATCCGAAACTACCTGCTGAATTGTTGGTCACTTTGTCATTTTTAAGAATTACTGAACTCATGTAGATGAGGCATACATTACACAGTACAACTAAACAAGGATTTACACCTTTAACAGAAATATTGTATTTATAATTCACAACGAGTTAATAAACATTAAGACTCACTCTGTAATTATAGTTTCTTCTTTTATAAGCACCACCACCATCTTCTTCATCAGATCTAATCTCAATTGCGTCAATATCTAAATATTAAAGACAAGAGGACAAATGTTGCTCTATACATCATGGGCAACTCTTCAAAAGTATAATCACCTTAAAGCGCACTTTTCAATATTCAAATCTTCCAAATAAGTATTTGGTGTGGTGGGGGAGGGGGGAGCGTGCATCATGATTACATTCTGGTTGTTTTTTCTGCTTATCTGATCATTGGTCCTTTGTCTCCACAAACAAGCAGCCTCTCGACTGAGATAGCTCCGCTGTTAGCAGTGCACATTTCAATTAAAGAACAGAATATATCATTAGAAAATGAACAATATGTATAGTATCAAAACAATCAGACTTGCAGTTTTCAACAAGAAGTGGAAAATATCACTTTTTACCAAAAATTACAAAAATATTCATCAAAATATCACTACAAAATGAACAAATCTGAGAGAGGTCCACATGTAGTACCTATATAGGTGATATCAAAGCAATTGGACTTGCGGTTTTTAACAAGAAGTTGAAAATATCACATATCATCATGAAATGAACAAACTTAAGAGAGGTCTACCCAAGGTACAAATACATCAAGTATCAAAGCATTCAGGCTTGTAGTTTTGAAGAAGAAGTCGAAAAAGTAAAACATTGACACGGACAACGACGGACAATCACTCGTATGATAAGCTCGACAGCGGAGCGGAGCTAAAAAGTAACAAAGTACACACATATGTTGCAATAACCAAAACAATATGTAAACAATTACCGTATTTATCCGGGTATAAGCCCAGGGTCCTGAACATGGAAAATCGCCAAAAAGAAGGGGTGGGCGTTTGTCCGGATATCCCCGGCAAAAAAACGAAAATTGGCAACACGCAGATTGAACTGCGACAGGAAGTAAAACGGCAAATAAAAACATGCAACAAAAATAAATGAACAATATGAAGCATCAGAAGTGTAACAAGAAATTTATTGCTTAGAATGTGACAAATATTAAAACCAGAAATAATAAAAATGGACAGTGAAGATTCATTTGAATTAGAATATCCCCGTCGACAAACACGCCGCCCCATACGCGTGAATTATTTCTGGTTTTGACAACAGCCATACAAGATCAATAATAATTTACGCAGTAAAAGTACGCATATTCATAGTTGTAGCTGCCCCAGTAAACAACGCAAAATACTGATGTAACCTTCACTTTATTTATGACGAACAATGTTGAGAAGATTGTAACACCGTCAAAACTATGAAATACAATAGTATACGTTCAGAAAATAATAACATGAACTTGCGTATTCGTATTGTAATAAGTACCAGAGCTACTATGCAAATAGATAGGCAATGATATACAGCATAGTGCGCCATCTAGTGACAAGACTAGACGAATCTATCGTACATGTACACACAAAATATGGTAAAGTTATACATGAATCTGAGCTCATACAAATAGATTACAAACTGTACATGGAATGTGACTTGCATAATCGTATAGAAAACAACTGAGAATTTTAGATGAGTGTAAACTAAACTACACGAGTGTCAACTCAACTACACGACTGACAGCGACTTAGCATGTAAACTACGCCAACGATAAATCAACTAAATCGATAAGGCTTCCAAAATAAATCTAAACATAACAAAAGTCTTCTCAAATAATTCCTTAGTACTCCTCAAACATTACCTACCTCGTTGGCAGCATAAACGATACTTGGGCAGCGAAAAAGACGAAACTAGATGCAGTGAAACGAGCGTTTCACTTCCAGTGAAAGCGAAAAATGGCGACTGCCCCAATCCTCGTACAGAGCGCGCACAACACCAAAAACTGCCGTGAGATAAATAAACGAGTGGAAGCACTAAAAGAATCAGGAACAAGTCTAAACAACAAAACTACAGTACCTATTAGTATGACCTGTAGTTTGTCGATGTCGTCCCACACAATTTGGACTTAGCACATTTAATCCACAGATTTCTTGAAAAATGGGGTCGCGGCAAATGACTCGCACGATACTTTTGTTTACCGTCTGGCAATCATCTTTGACCTTTAAGCATTCGCTTTACCGATTGGCTATTAAAGAATGACATCACTACTAGTGTTTCATCATAGAGGTAAATTCAACATTGCTTTTTTATCAGACATCATGGTGACAGTTACCATTCAGCAAGTTATATGGATATTGCGGTGGGCTTGAAATAGGAAGATTTTTTTTCCAACGACAGAAGAATAATTTTTATGAAATGCGATAGCTGTGGTGAAAGATGGTAAAAAAGTTGTCAGTCTTCAGCATGACATTGCAAAATTGCTGGCCCCAGTTATGGATTCGCAAATATTTTTAAGCCAGAACAACATGCTTTAAACCACTCTCCAAGGTACGGGTTGCTACAATATTGCAACATTGGTTTCATTGTCGGCGATGCTAAAGCCGAACGAGTGTGACACTTGCTTCGCGGCGTCTATATACTGTAAAATTTGCTTGAATCATTTCTAAGGAAACACAAACCTAACAGCCCTTTTCAGGACCATGACATATTTCAAAAAAAGAACTTCCTTTTCTCCTTTAATATACATTTTTTTTTGACTCGCTGGCTGCTATGTTTCTGATAAAAAATCTTGAAAAAATGAATATAAACTACATAAACAGTGGTGAATGCGCTGCTCTATTTATGTCACAGCTATTTCACATTCACTCCTTGTTTTACGCAATCGACATTTATTTTTCAAATTTTGTTATCAGAATCAAAATAGACTGCAAAGAAGTAAACTGTTAATACAACGAACAAAAATAGGTTTTTGTTTTTTTATTTTATTACAGGTGAAGAAAAAACACCCCTGGGCGTTTGCTAGGATATGACCTCAACTCCTTTATTTTATCAAAAGTGGGGGGTGGGCGTTTGTCCGGGCATGGGCTCTTAGCCGGATAAATACGGTATTGATTATATTATTATGAGAAGCAGTAGGTTCTCACAGTGCTTTGCTGAAACTATTGAGTGTTCTGACTGTGATGGACATTTGATGATGAAGAAATGCCATGGAATAGTCTGTGTGTGATTTAAGTTAGATAACCACTACCTCCTCCACCATGTTTAATTAATTAAGACAATAGAATGCAGAATGTTGCTTTACAATTACAATGGAATGGATTGACAATTCCAGGTTGTGCTCACCATTCCCTTTGTATGTACTCTTCCATAGCTCTTTCATTATCTGATTAATCTCATCCATCTTGGTGTGATGGTACTTAATAACGGCTCTGACATTCAAAGAAACAAATTATTAATTAAAAATTAATTAAATTTTTGATTGGCCAGGCACGATATATATAAGCCATATTTAGTAATTAAAAATAGATTTATGTACACATATGGT